CCCCCGAAAAGATAGTTTATTCCAACACCATCGTACAGTGGAATTGCAGAGGACTACGGCATAATTACAATGAGTTACAGTTATTAGTCCAGGATTGTATGCCGTCAGCATTTTGTCTGCAGGAGACTTATTTAAAGCAGACGGATCTTTTTGACCTACGTCATTTCAATTCTTATCATTATTTCTCACCTCCAGGTGACAGGGCCACTGGAGGTTCTTCAATCTTAGTCAAACAGAATGTTATCCATAGCCCTATTACACTCACTTCTAATCTTCAAGCAGTTGCAGTGCGACTAACTTTACACGTTGCATTTACATTATGCTCTTTGTATATCTCACCATCTTCAGTCATTCAGAAGACTGATCTTCAAACTCTGTATGACCAACTCCCTAAACCCTGTATTATTATGGGGGACTTAAATGGCCACAACCCACTGTGGGGTAGCATAAATACAAACGCTAAAGGTAAACTACTGGAGGAGTTTTGTTTAGACAATGATTTATGTATTTATAATGATGGTTCCAACACGTATTTACACCCTGGTACAGGAACCTATTCTACTCTCGACTTATCAATCACGAATTCAGAATTACTAAATGAATTTGAATGGTCAGTCCATGATGACCTATGTGGAAGTGACCATTTCCCGACTATACTAAAACCTGTAAACCCATCTGATATTACTCCATATTCGAGATGGAACTTTAAAAAGCTAACTGGCCTTTGTACCAAGCTCTGTGTTGTAACAGACTTAAACCCGAACTCTTTATAGAATGTACTGATCCTATAAAAGATTTCTCTGATGAACTTATTAACATTGCTGATGAGTGTATCCCCAAATCCTCTGCAATTTCACACATACGAAAACCATGGTTCACCAATGAGTGCAAACAGGCTAGGAGGGCACGGAAGAAAGCTGAGAATTATTTCCGTCGCCATCCTATGGTCCATAATTTGAATAAATTTAAAATTATAAATGCTAAGGCACGGCGTACCTTCAAGCAAAGTAAACGTCAATCCTGGCGAACTTATGTCTCAAAAATAAATTCACGAACGCCGATATCAAAAGTATGGAATATGATCCAGAAAATAAAAGGTAAGGGTTCTAAATGTAGCATTAAGCATCTGAAAGATGGAGACGAATTATTAACTAGTCAATCTGATATTGCAAATAAACTCGGAGAAACTTTGGCCAAACACTCTTCCTCATCGAATTATTTACCTCAATTCCAAAATTATAAAAAACAACAGGAAAGGAAAACTATTAATTTCAATTCAGATAATGGGGAAGATTACAATGAACTGTTTTCTATTCATGAGCTTCATACAGCTCTTGATCAAGCTCATGATACGGCTACAGGTGCTGATAACATACATTATCAGCTCCTGAAACACTTACCGGATTCATGCTTAGAAACCCTTTTAAACATTTTTGATGATATTTGGACTTCTGGACAATTTCCTTCTTCATGGCACGATGCTATTATTGTACCCATCCCTAAACCTGGACGTGATCATACTGATCCTTCGAATTATCGACCAATCTCATTAACTAGCTGCGTTTGCAAGACCATGGAGCGCATGATAAATAATCGACTTGTGTGGTGCTTGGAAACTAATAACCTTATAACAGACATTCAATGTGGTTTTCGTAAAACAGAAGTACTATCGATCATTTAGTGCGTTTAGAATCCTTTATTAAAATGCCATTATTAAAACAACATGCAGTGTCGATCTTTTTCGATTTAGAAAAAGCATATGACACCACATGGAAACATGGTATTTTAAGAGATTTACACGATTTTGGATTGAGAGGCCGTTTGCCTCTTTTTATCTCACAGTTTTTAACGGACAGGCAATTTCAAGTTCGAGTGGGTTCTACCCTGTCTGATCATTACAATCAGGATCAGGGTGTCCCACAAGGCAGTATTTTATCTGTCACACTCTTTAGTATTAAAATAAATAGTCTGTCAAAGGTTTTAAGTGATTCAATCGATGGATCTCTTTTCGTGGATGATTTTAATATTTCTTGCCGTGGTAAAAACATGAGAACTATTGAGAGACAATTACAAATTTGTCTCAACAAAATTCATAAATGGTGTCTTGAAAACGGGTTTAAAATTTTCGAAATCCAAAACCAACTGTCTACATTTTTGTAGGAAATACAAACCCCATAAAGATCCTGAATTATCTCTAAATGGCACACCCATCAAAGTTGTCAAGGAAGCTAAATTCCTTGGTCTCATCTTTGATTCGCATTTAACCTTTCTGCCACATATCAAAATCTAAAAGCCAAATGCCTGAAAGCACTCGACTTGTTGAAAGTCGTTTCCAGTTCAAAGTGGGGGAGGGACCAAACCACCCTCCTTCATTTGTATAGATCACTGGTCCGATCAAAACTTGATTACGGCTCTATCGTATATGGTGGGGCCTGTAAAAGCAATCTCAAACTACTTGATTCTATCCATCACCAGGGTCTAAGACTTTGTCTTGGGTCTTTCAGAACCTCTCCCATTGACAGTCTCTACGTTGAGGCCGATGAGCCATCTTTAAAACTTCGCCGTATCAAATTGTCCCTACAATATATCACAAAGTTATATTCTAATGAATCCAATCCTGCTCACACTTGCGTTTTTAATCCTCTTTATGAGGACTTGTATAATAAAAAACCTTCACTTGTTCCACCTCTAGGGATAAGAATCCAACAATATATTTCTGCTGCTGGCATTGAGTTGGAGAATATATCTCCTTCCCGTCTTCTTTCTTCTCCTCCTTGGCAATTAGTGAGGCCACAAGTTGACCTAACACTGACAAAGTTTAAAAAATCAGAAACAAACGAATTACAGTATAAACAAGAATATAATCAATTAAAGAATAACTATAATACATACAAATCCTTATTTACAGATGGGTCCAAGGATGGTGGCGCGGTGGCATGTGCCACTGTCATTGGATCCAGAACAATATCTTCTCGTTTACCAGATAACAGCTCTATTTTTACAGCAGAAGCAAACGCCATATTAACAGCTCTTAAATATATTAATAAACACCGTAAATATAAACAATATATCATCTTTTCAGATTCTCTTTCTTGTCTTCAGGCTATTAAAAATATTTCTTGCAAACATCCACTTTTATTAGAAATTATTGAATTGAATAATGAGCTTGCTACTGGCCAGTGCGACATCGTCTTTTGTTGGTTACCCAGCCACGTTGGCATTTCTGGGAATACCATGGCTGATCTTGCTGCCAAGGCAGCACTCAACAAATCTGTGACACCACTTCTTATTCCATACTCTGATTATAAAGCTGGCATTAGAACTTACATCCGTGATCTGATGCAGAAGAAGTGGGACGCCCAAGTAGGTATTAATAAGTTACATGCAATAAAACCCTATATTGGTTACACTCACTTGGGTTGTCAGTCCAGATTTGAAGAGGTCATCATGCGACGATGTCGTATTGGCCACACTAGATACACGCATGCGTACCTATTGAAAGGTGAGGATCCTCCGTTTTGTATCCCTTGTGATGAGAGAACCACGGTCAAGCATGTCCTGCTTGACTGTGTTGAATTCTCCATCATAAGGGATAAATACTTCAATGTGAAAACAGTTAAGGATCTTTTTACTACTGTTCATTCTCATTTAATTCTTGGTTTTAAAAGAAATTGACTTAATGAATGAATTTTGAATAATATGCTGTGTACATATTTGTATTTTAATTATTGGTAGACTTGATTAATAACTTAGATTGTTAATGGCTGTACCCTCAAAGGGGGTTGAAGTATTGTAAAATTATTGTCCTCCTGAGAGGGTACGTAAGTCCCAAAACATTTCAAGTGCATTTCAGTATACCAGGTGTTTTAATCGTAGTATTTTTGTCATTTTAATGTATGGCTAATTCTCGGTATAAACGCCAACAGCTGAAGGGATGGTGTAAATCCAGCTAGGGTCCATGCAGGTAGCAAAAGTAATGTAAGTCCCCATGGTTCCTAGTATGGTGATCTACCTTCAGTTGTTGGCGATCTATAGCCCATTTTTAGATTGTGTTGTCCCCTATAATTAAAATGTTTTAGATTCAATTACTAGTTTTACATATATATCTGTGATTCTCTAGTTGCTTTACTGTCCTTCGTCGGCAGGTTTTATAATATCTATATATATATATATATTGTTTTCAATATCAAATGTTCTCGTCACGATATGGCTGAAATATTGCCGATGTGACGTTAAATATTAACTCACTCACTCACTCCAAACATCCACTTTTATTAGAAATTATTGAATTGTACAATGACACTTGCTACTGGCCAATGCGACATCGTCTTTTGTTGGTTACCCAGCCACGTTGGCATTTCTACCAGGAACACGATGGCTAATATTGCTGCTAAAGGCAGCACTCAACAAATCTGTGACACCACTTCTTATCCCATACTCTGATTATAAAGCCAGCATTAGAACATACATCCGCGATCTAATGCAAAGAAGTTAGGACACCCAAGTAGGTATTAATAAATTACATGCAATAAAACCCTACATTGGTTACATCTACTTGGGTTGTCAGCCCACATTTGAGGAGGTCATTATGCGACGATGTCGCATTGGCCATACCAGATATACTCATGAATATTTATTGAAAGGCGAAGATCCTCCGTTTTGTATCCCTTGTGATGAAAAGAATCACAGTCAAGCATGTCTTGCTTGACTGCATTGAATATTCCATCACAAGGGATATCTATTCAAATCAAAACTCTGAAGGATCTTTTTAATAATGTCAGTTCTCATTTAATTATTGCATTTTTTAAAAAATTAGATTTGTTGACTGATTTGTAAATAGTTAAATATTTTATTGTTGGTAGTTTATATTAGTAACTGAGATTGTTAGTGGCTGTACCCTCAAAGGGGTTGACGTAGCGTAAAATTATTGTCCCCTGAAGTACGTACGTAGAGTCCACAACTTTCAAAGTTAATTTAAGTGTACCAGGTTTTAATCGTAGAATATGTGTGCTTTTTAATTTCTGGCTAGATTTCTCTTCTGTCGCCAATGGCTGAAGGGATGGTGTAAAAATCAGCTAGGGTCCATGCAGGTAGCAAAGTAATGTAAGTCCCCATGGGCCTTAGTATGGTGATCTACCCTCAGTTGTTGGCGATCTATAGCCAATTTTTACATTGTATTGTCTTCTTTAATTGGAATTTTTTAGCTTTGTTTGCTAGTTTTATATTTATCTATGTGATTGTCTAGTATTTTTACTGTCCTTCGTCGGCAGGTTTTTATAATAACTATATATATTCTATTTCAATGTCAAATGTTCTCGTCACGATATGGCTGAAATATTGCCGATGTGACGTTAAATACTAACTCACTCACTCACTCACTAAGGTCAGCCTGTAGTGAGTGAGTGAGTTGGATACTTCTAACCTCATCAATATTCCAGATATGTATGGCCACGGTCTGTAAATATTCAAATCTGGACCACACAATCCGGTGGTCAACATCATGAGCATCGATCTACGCACTTTGGATATGATCACGTGTCAACCAAGCCCCGTTAGTCGCCTCTTACGTCAAGCTGAAGACCAATTCTTACCCGGATCTTCACGGATAAACCCCACACAATAACAAATCTACCCTTCTTGCTTAAACGTACAACTACGTCTTTTCGACATATGCATGTGCATAATAGCAGGGACAATGAGCATGAATTCATGTCGTCATGTCGATAAAACGTCAATGAAGAGAAAACAAATCACCGAGCCGAACAACATAATCTCTGGATCTTCCTTCTGCTCTACATGTAATACATGTATACTCATCATAGGAACAAATAAGGGAACACATGGAAGTACAAGTGATCCTTTATTATATATTTCCAGAATTCCACTCACATTGCAATACATACCTTGTGAAGGAACCTGGAAATGAATAAAGGAACACTTGTACTTGCATGTGTTCCACATATTGTTCTCTATATATTTTCAGAATCGTTTTCATTTATTTTGAATAATTACAAAGAACAGATACGCCACTTGAAGGTATATTTTGAGATGTAATTTACCTGTAGAGCGTGACTGCCAGGAACACGAACACCAAGAAGGCCACAACCAGCACCACGCAGCTGATGACAAGGAGAATATCTTAATCAGATCACAATAAACATTATGTGTGTACCTTGCATGTTTGTCAGATGCAGCAAGTGAATTTTCAGAGATGAATTGCGTCCTTAAACTGAAGATCAGGTAATTTACGCCTTGTAAGCTAAATGTGAGCGTAACTATGAAGAGAGTTATTTGGGGTTTGTGAAACCCATGACCACGGTACAAGTCTCGAATCATGCAAACATCGGTACAAACATCATCATCTATAATGCATTCGATCACGAGAATCCCACTCGTGAAAGAGACACTACTCTGCATAGCTTATTGAGAGGCATCAGGCGACTGGGCAAAAGCTGTCCACAAACAGCAGTATGTTTTGTGTATTTCTAAAAGGGACTGAATTAGTCCCTGAGTGTAACATATGCGTGAGTTAACCTTTAATTTCACGCCACTTTTAGCACTATTCCAGCAATATCACGGCAGGGGACACCAGAAATGGACTTCGCACATTGTACTCCTGTGGGGAATCGAACCCGGGTCTTCGGCGTGACAAGCGGACGACGAGTTCACTAGGCTACCCCATCGCTCTGTATGTATCATATGAGCATTATGAGTAGATTGTCACGAATCCGTGACATATCTATCTGTGACTTACAATCAAATTCCACGGAACAGACAATATGTAAAGAAAACCTGATGTTTAATTCACTGCTCATAAGGATAATGGGTACTCCTGGTTCAATACAGACGCATGAACTGGCCAACTGATTTACACTTCCAGCAACGATGTTCGTAATTACATGATTTCATGAATCGCGCCAGTGCACCAAAATGAGACATGCACGTATTGCATACATAGGATCAATAGTAATAAACTCAGAGGTCATGATGAACTTTATGAACTGTTCACTAACACACTTTCCGAAATGACTTTCCGGGCGACAAAGATATACTCGTTGTTCCCAAACTTAGTCTCCTCCTAAGTACCAAAGTTATATCTTGGCGTAAGCTTATCTTTACGGCCTGTCACTACGACCGATGTAAGATGTAAGGAGGTTCACGGGTTTTCAAGTTTTCTGGCCATGTTAAAAAACTCTGGGGCTTTACATTTTAAAATAAATTAACAAAATGAACAACATTGAGATACATACAAGAAAGAGGACGATATCACAAACATTTTGCTGTCTTTCTCGACACATTCTGTAGGTAACCTTTAAGCATAGTATTATGCTATTTGTGGTTATAGTTATAATTAGTTAATTAGTTATATTGTTAAGGATTTCAGCATTTCCAAGTAATGATTTGGGGTGTTGATTGGGAAAAAAACACAAGATTCACATACAGTCGAACACTGTTGTGTATTTTCTAGGTACGCCACAGCGGCAAATGACTAAATACCAGCTTTTGCTTCGAGACAATGGTACGTTCGTCACATCAAAATTCAGAGACAATGGTGTTTGACTGCAACATACCCTTTACGTAGTAGACACAAAGAGGTGATTAGGACGGACAACGTGTTGTTTGCAGAGACAGATTTGGCCATTTGTCCTCTACTTGCCTTTGTTTTCCATGACGTCAGCAGTCCTCGAAGTGTCACAGCCGCGTTGTGTATCTGCCATCACAAAGGTTGCGTTAACGCATTCAGCAATAGCGTTACGGTCAATATGTATCAGACATAAACAGTAGTTCTTTAATATCTTTTACAAGAGATCAGGTAAGATGCAGCTCAATGTTTGACGCAGCTGAGGCCATACTGAGGGATCACTTTGTGACTAGATATTAGACGCAACAACGGCCCTACAGAGGGATCACTTTGTGACTAGATATTAGACTAGAAAAGTCCGTGCAGAGGGATCACTTTGTGACTAGATATTAGACACAGCGAAGGCCATACAGAGGGATCACTTTGTGACAAGATATTAGACGCAGCAACAGCCCTAAAGAGGGATCACTTTGTGACTAGATATAAGAGGCAGCGAAGTCCGTACAGAGGGATCGCTTAGTGACTAGATATGAGACGCTGCTAAGGCAGTTTAGAGGGATCATTTTGTGACTAGATATTAGACGCAGCAAAGTCCGTACAGAGAGATCACTTTGTGACTAGATATTAGACGTATAAATGTCCGTGCAGAAGGATCACTTTATGACTAGATATTTTACGTAGAAGGGTCCGTAAGGAGGGATCACTTAGTGACTAGATATTAGACATAGAAAAGTCCGTAGTGAGGGATCACTTTGTGACAAGATATGAGACGCAGCAAAGTCCGTACAGAGGGATCACTTAGTGACTAGATATGAGACGCTGCTAAGGCAGTTGAGAGGGATCACTTTGTGACTAGATATTAGACGCAGCAACGTCCGTACAGAGGGATCACTTTGTGACTAGATGTTAGACGCAGCAAATTCCGTACAGAGGGATCACTTTGTGACAAGATATGAGAGGCAGCAAAGTCCCTACAGAGGGATCGCTTTGTGACTAGATATGAGAGGCAGCGGAGTCCGTACAGAAGGATCACTTTGTGACAAGATATTAGACGTAGAAAAGTCCGTGCAGAAGGATCACTTGATGGCAAGATATTTAAGGTAGAAAGGTCCGCACAGAGGGATCACTTTGTGACTAGATATTAGACGTAGAAAGGTCCGTAGTGAGGGATCACTTTGTGACAAGATATTAGACGCAGCAAAGTCCGTACAGAGGGATCACTTAGTGACTAGATATGAGACGCTACTAAGGCAGTTGCGAGGGATCACTTTGTGACTAGATATTAGACGCAGCAAAGTCCGTACAGAGGGATCACTTTGTGACAAGATATTAGACGTAGAAAAGTCCGTTCAGAAGGATCACTTTATGACTAGATATTTAACGTAGAAAGGTCCGTACAGAGGATCACTTTGTGACTAGATATTAGACGTAGAAAAGTCCGTGCAGAGGGATCACTTTGGGACTAGATATTAGACGTAGAAAGGTCCGTAGTGAGGGATCACTTTGTGACAAGATATTAGACGGAGCAAAGTCCGTACAGAGGATCACTTTGTGACTAAATATGAGAGGCTGCTAAGGCAGTTGAGAGGGATCACTTTGTGACTAGATATTAGAAAAAAGTCCGTACAGGGGTCACTTTGACTCTAGACATTAACTCTAACTGTTGTTCAACACGACGTTTAATCCAGTACACTCATTCCCTGCGTGAAACATTATCAACTGCCACTTAAGCTCAACCCTTTTCCACACAATATGCAAGGCTCTGTGATCTGCAAATATTGTTCTTTTGTAAATGAGATATTGGGTTTACGAGGAGGTAGGACAGATACTAGCGGTTACATACTGTCAGCAAAGAGACAATACACAGGGAAGGGCTGCATCCAGAACAATTATGCCAATTTTTTTTTTTGATTCAGACATTCGTACAAGCATTTGTATGCGCTATTTAGATAGGATTTCGCGTGTCGATGGGTTAGGTTTTGGTGTACATACATCGAACCACCTTGTATCCTTTCTGCTCAGTATTAAACAAGAGTAAGTTAGTCTCATACTTCTGCCATCCCTGATTGGTTTGTTATTTAACGCCGCACTCAGCAATATTCAAGCTATATAGCGGCGGCCTGTAAATTATCGAGTCTGGACCAGATAATCCAGTGATCAACATAATGAGCATCGATCTGCACAATTGAGATATTATGACATGTGTCAACCAAGTCAGCGAGTCTGACCACCCTACCGTTAGTCGGCTCTTACGACAAGCATGGGTTACTGAAGATTAATCTCACCCGCATCTTCACTGGTTTCCCTGACATAGACGTGACGTAGATATGACCAAACGAACATGAGTATGGTGCTGTAAAACTACAATCTGAGAAAACAACGCAATGCATTGTACTGAATCAAAAGGGAATTCCTGAATCTTTATTAGTATACAATGCGAGGCAGAAAGCCTCGTCTGCAATCAAACATTGAGGAACGACACAAGACTTGATTCATAGTATTGAACGAGAATGGCATCCTCAAGTGAGTGAGAGGACTCGATATTTAAGGCACTTGTGATTTTCAGATAACACTTATTTGCATTTTCAAAATGCTGAAGATGATAATTTACAATAGCGACAATCCGTATTGATCGATTTGTGTATTTGTTCATAAATGTTATCGTAAAACGACCTTCAGGGTAATGCAGTGGGTAATGAAAAAATATGAATGCAAACAAGGAAAAACAACAACAATTTTCTGTAACGCAAGTTTATCTGCAGATTATTCGTTTACAAAGCAATCATACATGACACGAAAAAAAAAATGAGATTAGTTGCTGGAAAATAACATTCGCGCCCAAGGCACTCACTCAATTTGAAAGAAGATACAACAATCGGTCAAAGACATTATACATTTCTGTGGTTTTTAGCAAACATATATTTCTGTACTTACATGCTTAAACCCGTGAAGGTCGGGTTAAAATTGGTTTGCAGCAACCCATGCTTGTCGTAAGAAGGCGACTAACGGGATCGGGTGGTCAGGCTCGCTCACCTGGTTGACACACGTTGCGTAGATTGCGTAGATCGATTCTCATGTTGTTGATCCCTGGATTGGCTGGTCCAGACTCGATTATTTACAGACCGCTGCCATATAGCTGGAAAATTGTTGAGTGCGGCGTAAAACTAAACTCGCTCACTCACTCACTTAAAGACACATATATGAGATAATCTCAAAGCATCTGTTACCGTTGAATCATTAAAGGTGAAAAGATATTGTTAACTTTCGAAGTCGTTGTCTCCAAGCACGGATGTGTTACATGTAATGAATCATATTATAAACTAACCGTAAGAAGCCAACTTCAGTTTTAGGAGACTGCCTCTTAAGCGGTGACTGTATCAGTGAACAGTTCAGTATTAAAACAAGCTTCAGAAAACAAAGTTTACGTATACAACGTATTTTGTGAAACAAAATTGATAAAAAGTAGTAAAATGTTATTATGAAAATGTAAGAATATCTTGACCGCTATACAACAACAACTACGTATCTGAAATACTGTGTTTGCATAACCATTGTGAAAATGTTTCAGAAATATATTTTGACATAAATATAATACCTTTATTATTCCCTGCACATGCTAAAACTATCTTACCATTCACATGGTCAATTTTCAGTCAAAGGTTTGGAAGTAGATTTCGAATGTACAGAATTTTGAACAAGGAAGGTATTTCCTGTATGACTGGGATGTTTCTAAAAGATGAAAGTTACATAACAGTGGACAAGCAATAGTAAACCGAAGGTTGGAACAACAAACAGTGTTTTATATAATTTAGATGGAAAACAATAATTTTAATGAATGTGGTATTACACCGCGTTTAGAAATATTCCAATATATCGGTGCGTGTGACCAATTCCTCTTCAATTCCACATGTAACACTGAACACTGAATGAGCATATAAAGAGAATCGTGGTGTCCATCATTTGGTGGCGAATGTGTTTGTAGACTGCACCTGCTGGCAGGCCAACTCGTACAGGTATCTGTAGTCCTCCTGAATAACAAACAAGAGGATCGAAGAGAATTGTTTGCAAATCCATGTCAGCATTTATAATTATTATACCTATCCATAGAAACATGAGAGTATTGATTTTAAAGGAACACGAAGCAGTTGATCGAGTCCTTGAATCACGTTTCGCACTGATCTTGTCAAAACCATACGCGTTCTTTACTTACCTTTGCATGGGCATGTGGCTGATATGATCGACGTGCAGAATACTTTCAACTGTTCTCGAGTACATGGTATCGTCGTTAATTTATAGTGAATTATTAACATCTCCTTAGGATATATATTGAACAGCATAACAAATTCTGCTTTGAGCAGATATTTGCAGTTTTTTGTTTTCAGGAACCTGTTAAACGTCTATGATATGTTTTAATTCGGGCTTTCTTTCACGTCAAACCTACCGCCATGGTTTAACTGATATTGTGTTCAACATCTCCATCTGAACATATAAAGTATGCTCACCACACAGGTGATGGGTTGCCCATTTCTACACTGTATCTCCCTGACTGTCAAGTAGATGTCCACTTCCTTGTCCAGTCTCAGGCTGGTCAGCACACTGACTGCAGCAGCAAAGAGGCTGCACTTCCTGGGATCGTCTCTGGTGTATAGTATATTTGATAACAGTATATTTGATAATAGGCGCAAACATATTCATTATCTGTAAATCTTTATATTTCCTGTTGGGGCCCTGGCATGTTGGACAGTCATCAGGCAGACAGTTTATCGAAAACAACTATCTGTGTATCAGATGTCGAATAATGAATTATAATTCGTGTTGTTTTCATGGCGTCATGCAGAAACAAATGGCTACATGCACTGAAGGTGTAAACGTTGCCTGCATATGCTACGTGCACACCATCTACTGACTATTCAATATACCTGAGAGACGGAGTCACTTTCACCTGTCATAACTGATGGCCTATGAGCTTTCGAAACGTTTGTGTAACGGACATACATTCAAGAACAGCGACCTACCGACACTGGAGTATGACGGGATGGGGCCCACTGATGTGTTGACGTTCAGTCAGGATCTCTACGAGCATCAGGAGATTGGCTTTGTCAAAGTGACGTTCTGTAGATGGGGAGTTGAAGTTGTAGTTGACGATAGACGCCACACCTGATCCGCTGTCCTGTAACAAAGGAACCAAACCAACACATGATCAATCAACCATGTCCTGTGGGACAAAGTATATTAGTGGCTGTGGGTTGCCAAGAATAACGACACACCCGTGTTAAAGAATTGTCCATACCCAAAATGTCTGCATCGTCTTTGATTCGATGGTTAGTTTCATCCCCGTCACTCCTACAGAAACGTCATCAACGGAGTTCAAGGTCACGTGAAACTCTCCAAATGTCAACGACGTGCCAACGTCCTTTGGCATGGCATCAGAAGGATTCTAAGGATGAAGGTAAAATCAAATCTACAAGGAGATCCGTAATTCACAAGTGTCCATTAGGCTAACACTTACAAAACTAAGATATAAGCTATAACATGTTATTTCATGTTGATCATGTCAGTGCGCAGTGGGAAGCGTAATTTTGATGCTATCTGTGGTAAGGATTTCTAATAATTATTGAAAGGACTTCGTTGTATGAATATCCATCGAGTTTTTCAGGGCCAAAGTATTGACACATTGTCAAATCTCTCAGACATAACAAGTGAACATATTGGTATTGATAAGCAATAAAAGGGTACCCGATAATTTCATTTCTCATGATATGCCTTGAGACCTAAAATGTACATTATTGTTACCTGGCTGATGGTGATGATGGTACCAGAACTGTTCCCGCATACCAGCTGCCATAGTTCTTCGAGAGAAGGCTCCTTAACCACTCCGATGTTGAGGAAGCCCTTCTTGTTGAAATACGACTTTGAAAGCAAATAATATATTTTCTTCATCCATACAATTGGCAGATTTGGATTTATTTCGTCCTGCATTTATGTAGATAATATGTATAACAAACAAAACAAAGAAAAGTAAACAAAATGATTGTAGAAATTATTCGCTCAATACATACCGGCAGAGGTGTTATATTGAAATTGAATAGATCATCACCTACAAAAGAAAAACCATGTTAACATATTTCCTCAAGACATACTAGTAGAATATGTGTGAACGAAGGGAATGAAACAATAAACCCCGAAAACTTTGTATGAAAGTCCACACCAACATATTAACATAAACGTTCTTCAAGTAAATTGTCATTCCGTAAGAAGTTACTTTTGATGACACACTTGATACATTTTAGATTTTGACAAATATGTTTACCAAGATAATATTGTGTTAAAGGCTTTAGAATTTAGCTGCAAGGCATAATTTGTTGTACCATCTTCTTGTGTGGGATCTGGCTTTGCGTCAGTCTTCTGGTCTCTCTGGAGTGACATCATAACTTCCAAATTCTGGAATAAAATTAATATCCACATTCAGAACATATTCAAGTATTCGTTAAACTTTGATCCTACCGTAAGATACTTTGGTTTGTTAATTATTTTTCTTTACATAAGTAAATTTGTTTAAAGAATCGTCACGTAACACTATAGATTTATCCCAAAACGTCACCAGAATCACCTCGTATTCCTCCTGGATTACGATGTTGCCTGCTTCCAACATAGCTGGCAGTTCTCTAGCCACTACCGGCGAATCCCTGCTGAAGAGTGCCTCGAGGACAGCCCAGTGGAGGAACTTATACTGTCCCTAGAACAAACACCAACACCAACAATACTACATGTGCCAGGAGAACCTTTTATTTATTTAGAAACACCCACAAACATTCGCAATACATTATATACTAATATGGATCAGATGGTTTATGCCAGTGTGTTGGCATACGATATAGAACGTCAGTGCAAAAGAACACCCAGTATTCCCAGAAACCAATTCCATTTAGCATGAAGTACATGGAATGGAAGAATTCGTTTACACAGTTCCTGTCTGGAGAAGTCATGCCTACTACACCTGTGTCTGCACCATGTTCATCCTCTGGTCCCTCATGTTGAGGACGACGATGAAGAAGTTCACTTTCTCCTCCACAAGCGCCTCATTCATCAAGATGTCAAGACCGATGAAAGTACCTGTCCGACCCACTCCAGCACTAGTGGACAAACAAACGTATTTCTGTACCACTGGTTGTGTTCCTATTTTAGACAACGTGTTAACCCAACAGCAGTATTACTACTTCTTGTAACGTTTTGCGAAAGCAAACATTTATGGATGTTTACGTTTCGGTGTATATTCTTATTCCTTCACCTCATCCTCTTTATTTTGAGGAACAAGACATTTCTGAGAATGTTAACGTTTTTACTCCTTCATCAGGTGTAGGAGTAAGAATATATTCCGAAACGTACATGTAGTGTTCCTCAAAACAGAGAAGGTGACATCCATACATCTTTACCTTGTGTATTACTTCTAAATGCCGTTTAAAGAACTTACTTTTATTTAGATTTGAATATTAACAATATCTGTTGCAATAAAATTTGGTCCTCATGGGTTGAACCGATTATAGAAGCCTTAAGATTCGCCGATACTTCTTGGAACGTATTGCCTGCTTTGTCTGCCTTTTCTCCCACTATTGTCACACTATTAAAGGAATCGGAAGATTAGCCTAACTCACCCTATATCTCAACTAATGAGGTTACAAGATGTCCATGTTGCCGAGCTTTGTGATGTATTAATAGGATCCTTATTCAGTGAATATTAGAAGGAATTTAAGGACTTTATATAATCAAGTTGAGTCAATTTCTGGTCTTAACAACCAGCACCAAGACCATATGCATTAACACTACCAACAACCTTGATGGATCAACGTTTATCTTTCACATATTTCAGATAAATTATTTTGGTGTTTTGGAATTTGTCAAACTGCATGCAATTTCTTTTATTTCGACATGGCAAACACATTGTAAAAAGCAAATACGATACAGTGATACCTGCAGTGGACAATTATTGGTCCTGCTTGTCCGTCATTTTGCTTGCTGCATATGTTGACATGTCTCCAGAAATTGACGAGAGAGGGCGCCGTGGGAACTCCATGGTCTGGCCACGAGGTGTAGTGGTACTGGGTCACTTCACGCCGAGTGTCCTCCTGAAAATATGCCACTTATAAAAACTGAAAGACGACAATAGGAAAGGTGACCCAATGGCGATAACTCAATCTGTTGTAATCTCTTCAAGGTATTGAACATCTATGAACAGCTGAGTTTATACTAATTTTCTCAGGGGCATCCTGAGTCAGTCGACGAACGAACTGATAATAATTCATGGTTTGTCTACAGCATACCAGTGTTCTTTGATTTGACCGAAATATTCAAACGTCTCAGACGTACGTCTCTTTAGCATGGGTACCACCCTGGTTATGTCTACACGTGACATTAGACTCTCCCTTACCAGAGAGATTTGGACTTTGACTATCAAACGTACCTTACGGTGATGCAGCAAGAAGATGCGAACTGTGTAGTGTGCACGTTCTATAGACTTCTCCTGTGTCACAGTGATGTTTCCATAACTACCGCGTTCTCCCTTTCCTAGCCAATACATGTGGCACATGTGCTGAAACGAAAGTAACACTTCATTCAAAGATATCCAATTGCACCACATAGTATATTACTATGGACTGTATTTATTGAGGGTATCAAATCATAGTAGTTGTAGAACTAATAGCGTTTGGATACGTATCAGAATTGTTTTGATGGCTGTTCTTTGTTGAAACATATTGTTAATTGCCTCTTCCTTGAACGTAACGCATAATTTCTCCACGCACCTGGCCATCTTCCAGTAGATTGGTGACCATGACGATCTCCCGAGATCCCTCCTGCCAGACCATACTCCAAAAGTCTACAGCCGTCGAGTTCAGGGGACCTGTGAATCATTGTTGGTATGTGAGTGTGTGTCGTTATATATCGTTCTTACCAACATTCCAGTAATACCAAAACGGTGGACACAAGAAATGGTCTTCTGCAACACCACATGGATATCCAACCGTCTCATCATAATTTACATGAAACTGTATGTCTATACACAACATTTCCAAGTTAAAAGAAACTGTATTTTAGATGACATCCAATGCGTGGGCATACAGGTGTTTGGGTTACACATCGGTCACACAGTATTTCAGATTCAAGTAAGAAGCAAGCAAAACCACCAGCATGGGTATGATTCGAGCAGGCCCGGGGTTTAGGATCAATCTTGAAGTTGAAACCAGGAAAATAAGTCTGTGAGTCTTCAGGGATGGATATTGTAGCGTGTCAGACTGCTGTATCTCCTGTATCCCATGTGATGTGGATGACTAATTATTTTAACTTTGACAACACATATGGCAAATAGAACTTTATACTTACCTTGCGCAGCTATGAATTTCAGAGGACTTTTAAAGCCCTGAAAAAAAAACCCAATGTATTCTATCAAAGTTCATGATTTCTGTCTGTTTGTTTGTTGTTTAACGCCGCACTATTCAATATACTATAACAATATTCCATCGAAATGGCGACAGTCTATAAATAATCGAGTCTGGGACAGACAATCCAGTGATCAACAGCATGGGAACTGGAGAACGCATTTGGGATACGATGACATGTGTCAACCAAGTCAGCGAGTCTGACTACCCGATTCAGTGGATTCTAACTGGGATCGTCACGGCTTGTTTATGAATGAAACACAATGAAAGCTTATGAGCTTGGTTTAAATGGCGGATATATAATACGTATAAACGTAATATAATCATGTTTTTGTTATATCATATTTATGCTCTTGCCTCTCTCTACATACGTGTATGTACGATGCGTTGATATAATCTGCCCCACTTTCGCTCTGTAAGTGCACCCGAGTATCGTCATCTGTTGATGATACGTGACAAATCGAAAGTGGTGCATACGAATGATAACATTGTAACGTATGTTATGTATTAACATGTACTGTACCACAGTCACTTTGGCCGAATGGAAAGGGTGAGTGAGTTACTTTGGTTTTTCCAGCAATGTCATGGCAGGGGACACCGGTAATGTGCTTCAGACATTGCACTCATGAGGGGAATCAACCCGCCTCTTCAGCGTGACGAGCGAACGCTTTATCCACTTGGCTACCCCACCGTCCCCATACCCGTAGGAATGTGTTGTCAAAACGATTGGCCGATTATCTAACTATATCATACGCATATGCTTATGAATACCTCCCAAATGATAAACAAGATGTGTATGAAAATCTTAGGTATGCTGTCCCAACGGTTGGGCCATCACAAACACTTGAAAAGGCAAGTCAAGCATTCGCCACATCATATGACGATTTTGTTTTACAATATATCATCATTACATCCATGCATATATATCTTTTATGTTAGAGAATCCAACACGATATAACCGATCCCTGCTGTTTCTTAAGAACTTAAGACAAATGATGTTACATGCAAATAGTCTGTTGTAGCGGTTCTTTTGGAGATTTTTCTCTCTCGCTGCAGTCTCATATGTGTGAGTGTTCCTCAGGCCGGCCGGTAACATCTGAAAGAGAGCGGCAGTCATATAAATAGTATTACGTTTTTAAGCATAAACAATAAGTGTTTACATTCTGCAGCAGCGCATGGCATCTTGACGTAATGCTACTTCCACTGCAAATTAGGGTCCATGCAGGAACCAAATGTACTGTAAGTCCCCATGGTCGCTGGTATGGTGATCTACCTTCAGTTGTTGGCAATCTATAGCCGGTTTATATATTGTATTGCCATTTAAAAGTAACATATTTTAGATTTTATTACTAGTCTTAAATTTTTCCCTCTGATAATCTAGTAGTTTTACTGTCCTTTGTCGACAGGTGTTTTATAATGTAATTGTGTTTATTGTTAATTTATAACTTTTTAAGTCACAATATGGCTGAAATATTGCCGATGTGACTATAAATTTGAACTCACTCACTCCACTGGAAATTTGTTTTTCCAGACTCCAGAGAATACAGATCCTACTACATTTGTTTAGTTGAGTCCAATCTGGGATTTATACCCACACTGTCTGACAGAATGGATTAGATGGCTGACTTTGTGTGCTGGCGATTACGTGCCTTACTCTGAGAGTGTGGGTTCGAAATCGGATGGGACTCAACCCATCAAAGGTACAAGAATCTGTATTTTGCTGAGAAAGTGTAATCCTATATTTAACACCTGTTACGTTTGATCAATATCTAAATTGCCTTGTGTATCCATAAGATGAAACTGGGAAGGTACTTGCCGCGTACTCCGTGGCGTTGTTAGCATCCAGCTTCTCTCTGATGTAGCTGGGGAGATTCGCCACACTAACAGCACTAGGGATGTGGCTCTGGAGGGATCCGTTAAGAGACGCAGATTTTTCCTCCGGGTAAGTAGGTAGTGCCACACTTTTGAACTCATTAAGATCAAACACTGTTGAGTTCGGCTGTTCGACTTCATCCATCTTAATTGCTTGATTCCTCACGGCAGCTGATTGATCATTCATGCATTACATGAATATCAAGTTCTCGTACAACTCTCAACCAACTATCAGTAGATGTTATATATTATGTATTTTTACGAGCCAATATGCACATGTTGACCTATATTAGCCACAACAGTTTGTCGTTGATGATGCCAATATGCCAATACCATTTTGTATGCTATACTTATGATTTTAGTTATATCAGGTCCCTTCTCGTGCCCTTGGCACTCACTCACCCAAACTCATGCACACACGCACGCACGCACTCACTCACTCACGCACCCACCCACCGATCATGCTCGCTCACTCGACAACCAACACACTCACTCGGTATGTAATACATTGCTCGGTTACCTCTGGCTTCTGCATCCTTTGGGTTATACCATTTTTTAATTCCATTTCTGAAAAGTATAGAGATCGGTAATGCATACACAAGTGCTCCAAATGACTAACAGTTTTGGGTGAACCCTTGTGTCAATATTTACAGACAAATTAGAATACGATAAATACGAATTTTAATGACACTCGTGAAATTGAAACAGCGGTGTCATATTAACTTGTCCTTGCCTGTGACAAAACAAAATGTGAATACGACGTGATGGTGTTATCAGCAGACACAGATGGGTTTACCTGCAGACAACTGCCACTACGACGATAATCAGCAGCAGCACGACCACTCCCACTACTGCAGCAATCATCGTCCCTGAAATTGACAATTCACCAAACTGGAAGTTCTTGAAAGCAACTGGGTGACATGAAACAACTATTACGTGACTTACTTTACTGACATCGCTCATACATATTGATTAAAACACTTTGCTTCCTACCTCTTGCATGGATGTAAATTGATCTGCTCGTTGAAATGTTTAGTAAGCTGTTTGGGTATATCTTAAATTACAAACGTCCTCACGGAAATATAATGTTTTTTGGAGTTTATTTCGTAGTTTTGAACACAACTAAAGTTTCATTGTTAAATATTCTATGACTATCGTTTTTCACATTTTTTTGTTTTCAACACTTTTCGTAAAATCATCCGAAATAGATGAGTTTTACAGGAGAGCAAATGGTGTCATTTGTACCCCTTGAAATTTCGTCAAAGTTAAAATGTACATTTCTGATGCAAGCTATGGTATGCAAATGAGATGTAATCTCCATAGGTTCGCGTAAATAAGATATTTTATGCATAATGTTATATACCATTCATCCTTCATTTCTAATAAATCTTAATTGACACACAAAATAATTGATTTAGGGATTTCCTCATTACATGTTTCATATATTTAACAATGACACTTATTGAAAGTTTACTATTTTTATTTTTACGAGTTGATAGCTTGGATTGTCAATTGCACAATCGCTATGGCAACACAATCGCTATAGCAACACAATCGCTTCCCGTCAAAACAGTGCTGCAGGTAGTTGTTACGACCCACTGTTGATAGTGACGTAAGTTATAGCATGTTTCTATTTTATTGAAAATATACAATCTTTTTACCTGTAAAATGGTATTTTGAATGATGAATAGCGGATCAACTTAAAAGACCTAGTTGGGACAAAACATAGTTATTTTCATATTTGTTAAAACGACCTATTTTAATGAAGTAATAAACAAATAAACTCCCGAAACAATTTTATTTCTACTTCCGTGAGTACTTTACACCTCCACCCCCTGCTTGACTGTGTTGAATTCTCCATCATAAGGGATACATATTTCAATATCAAAACAGTAAAGGACCTTTTTAATAAAGTTAATTATCATTTAATCATTGATTTTTTAAAAGAGATAGATTTGTTACATGAATTTTGATATATGTTTTGTAAATAGAGAAAGTTATACAATTGGTAGTTCAGATTATCAACTTAGATTGTTGGTGGCTGTATCCTCAAAGGGAGTTGAAGTAGCGTAAAATTATTGTCCTCCTGAGAGGGTACGTAAGTCCCCAAAATTGTCAAAGTCAATCTTGCTCAACCATACTTTTAATCGTAGTATATTTGTTTCCTTTAAAATTCGGCTAAACTTTTCCTACAATCGCCAGCGGCTGAAGAGATGGTGTAAGTCCAACTAAGGTCCATGCAGGTAGCAAAGGTACTGTAAGTCCCCGTGGACCCTAGTATGATCAACTACCTTCAGATGCTGGCGATCTATAGCCCGTGTTTTAAATTGTACAGTCTTCTTCAATTAAAATGCTTTAGATTTACATTCTAGTTTTATATTCATATCTGTGATACTCTAGGATTTTTACTGTCCATCTTCGACAGGTTTAACTCTTCACAACATTTTTATATTGTATGCATTGTTTTTGTCACGATATGGCTGAAATATTGCCGATGTGACGTTAAATATTAACTCACTTACTCACTCACACCTCCACCCGCAGGGGCGGATACAACTTTTTGGGAAAGGGGAGGGGGAAGGTGCACACTCTTGAGAAAAGGGAGGGTGCACACTTCATTTTCACCCGTTTTCACGGGTCATTTAATAAACTTTCAGGACAAAAGCAGGGGTGGCACATGCAACTTAAGAACTTCATGAATATGTACACTATTTAATTAAGTTCCATGTTATAATTAAGTAACATTAACAAAGTGGAAGAAACACTAAGCGCCACGCTACTAATAAACAACATCCTCGTGCAGTCTTAGTAGACATGTCATGAGCAAATAGATTCTCCAAGACAGCATATTTTCATTGATGCAGATGTCAAATTTCAACTCATGAGATCATATATTTTGGATGCGACATGTTGTGCCCGCCCAAATTATTCACTCAGTTTGCATTTTGCCTATCAGTATTTCATTTACCTGTATCCGCAACAGCAGGTTGTGTCGTTGGTTTTGTTTGCGACGTTGTTGAGGTCTCTGTTGGAACTGGTGCAGCGGTGCTTGTTTGGGATGATGTCGTGGGCTTGGTCGTTGTTATGGACGTGGTGGTGGTTGTTGACTCTCCTGTATTGGACATAGTAGACATGGTAGAGGACGTTACTATCGGGTCAGCTAAAGAAAACCAGAAATGCATTTCCATATGTTGTATGAACCTTGAATTGGACGTAAGGATATCTTAATACCACAAATGTATCTGAAATGAAACGTAATTGCATCAAAACAGAAACGAAACGCTTCGCCTTTGATTTAAACATCAGGGTACCGTTCCTCAAAGCAATCGTAGCGTTAAGGTGATCGTAACTCCTATGCTTTAACATAGACTTACGACACTCGTAGCGCTACGATCGCTTTGTGGAACGGGCCCCAAGTCAGTTGAAGATGACAACCGCACAGAAGTTTGATGGATTTCCTCTTAAATATCTCCGAGAGCCATCGAAATGTGGTACAAGAACATTGTCTTGAATGTCAGTGATGTACCGTCGCCCATTCAGATTTTGTGTGAACGTGAAACGGTCAAGTTTACAGTCATATGAGGGGAAACACTACACCATAAAATGAATCCAAGGATTACTTGCTCCAAGATACTCCGTTGTGCAAGTTTAAAGTGTTTCTGCGGTGTTAGTCACGAGCTCGACCATCAGTCATGAACGACGAAATCCACTTTCGTCTCACCAGTGGATCCTTCCCCCCTGACGTCAGTGGCATCGAGCTTACACCAAGTTAGTCGCACTGCTGTGAGCTCTGGGGATAACAACGTGCGTCTGATAGGTTGTCTGGCTCTATACCCTGCCGAAGTTAGGTAGTTTTGGACCAATCTGATGGACAAACGACGATGTGGAAGCCACTCTGATTTAACTACGCCACTTGACAAAACGGGTAATGTCTTGGGATTCTGAGAATGCCTGTATCCTCCCTATGAGTTGTGACTCGCGGTCGTCGTGAAAGCTGACGGAACATAACATCCTTAGTTTGCTGATGTTTTCTGGCCAGTCGGCTGATGACAACTTAACCATCATCTACTGACAAGCCCTGAACGACATGTTAGCATTCAGTATACCAGTAACTTGCCATCTGTGAGAAGTTGTCTGTTAAGGAGGCCCTATATGTGTTTATCAACAATGGCATCAATTCATTTTCCAGGTGTAACAACAGTTTACTGAAACTTGACATTTACTTAATGACAGGTGATGCGCGTAATGCTCGCCTTAGACTGGAACACGTGCATAACTAAATTAATGTATTGTACGCCCGATGAGTCAAAATACTCATTCAAACAAACATAATTATGATATGAATATAAATTGACATATGGGAGTTAAAAATCACAGGTGTTGCGGTACTTTTACCATGTGTATAGTTAAACGCGAACGATACGTTACGCCGTTACGCATACGGGTACTGATTTAGACATTAGTTCCGTTGAAGATACAAACGTGCATATGAAGGTGAAGGTATTTCGTGTAGTCACGGCATCGTAGGCCTGTGCTATGCTTTATATTATGAATTCTAATGGTATCGAAGAACGAAATGAGTAAAGTGAGCGAAGGAGTTACAACGTATAGTCACATTGACTTTATTTCAGCACCATCCTGACTAAACAAGTTATGAGTGATATATATTTTAATTATACAAACCTGTCGACAAAGGCCAGTATAAGTAACTAGAAAATCACAGAAACAGTATTGAAAATCTCTAAATATCTCTACAATTTAAGTTATATTTAGAACAATACAAATTACAAACGTTCTATGCATCGCCAGAAACTGAAGGTAAATCACCATACTAGGGACCATGGGGAAGTACAGTACTGACAGATTTACACGTTCCCTTAAGCCGTTGACACATAAATTGAAATCAAAACTATTCTACGTTATGAATGCTGATAGACTTATACGTAGGCTGAAAGAGGACCATAATTTTACAATGCTTCAAACTCTGTGTGGATACAGCCACTAACAATATCAGGTATTAATATAAACTACAAACTATAAAGCATATACTTGTTTAAAAAACAGGTTTCAAATTTTATGAAACAATTCAATTTCTTATAACAATCCAATAATTAAATGAGAATTGACATTATGGAAAAGATCCTTCACTGTTTTTACAATGAAATATATATCCTTTGTGATTGAAAAATATGAACAAAATAATGTATCGTCATTGACTAAACACATGTACATAAAACTTCTACCGTATATTTCCATAGATTCAGCATCATCGCACCTTCTGTAGGTTGGCGATTTGGTGGTACATTTGCTGGAATCAGCAATATATCTCTCCTTGTCAAGATTATTTTGTAGTTTTGGAATCAAGTACAAAAGAGGAATGGGCATGTCTTCAGGTGTAATAGTCAAGACAAACGCTGATAGCGCTGATGAAAGGTTTAGGCAAATACATATATTTCTAGTACCGTATATTTCCACCTCGCAGAAACTCAGATTCAGCATGCTAGCTGTAGGTTGGCGATATATCCGGAGATGGATCCCCGTCAGGGGTACATCACACTCCAGGGTGTACTCTGCTTCCCACATGTAGGAAGAGTTCGCGATGTGACATATTCTTCCATCTACAGACACATTTACGTCATCCTGTTGATCTGGAATATGTTGAGAAGAATGAACCAAATACCTTACACTAAATACAGATTCGGGTGTTTTTAGCATTGCTGTAACATAATAGCTGGTCAATTAATGTTTAAGATGTCTCATATAAAGTACTTGTCTGATATAAAGACCTTGTCAGTATTAGTACTATTAATTTTGTCCGTATTAGTACGCAGCGGCGTAAAACTTTCGTTATTTTGTGTTTCTGATGACACAGTACCTTCCCAGAATATCTTGATCCTGGTAACTGTCCTGCTCTGTGTAAACTCCGCCTCCCATGCTGGGTATAAGGACGAGACTGATGCACACGGTCCTGACGTCACACCATCAGTAACCCAGGATGCCTGTCCAGTGATGGTGTAAGACTTGTTGTCCCCAGATGTAAAGTTACTCGCTGCTATATTATCTGTAATAATAAACAGTATCATTATCCGTGGTATGATAAGTTCATCACATTCCAATATGGTGATTCAGGTTGGAATAACTGTACGTACTGCATGTAGAATCCAGAAAATGTTCTTTTACTTCGGCTTGTCATCACGAGTTGTTTAAAACGTTCCAGTATCTTGCATCAGCTTTCAGCATTAGTCTATTGTTATATCTTCATCTCAATCAGATTGGACACTATTGTATCGTTTTCTGCACTACATTCTTTATATTGTGTTGCTACTACTTACACTTAATTTAATTTAAAGTAAAAACCTAATGTGCTAACATAAACACTAAACTAATGGCAATGCGATTTAAATGTACATGATGTCTTATTGTGCATCATTGACAAACATATTCCGTTCGCAGTTATGGGCAACATATTAAATAAATAGGTAACTGAAAAGCAGGTGTAAATTGTAATCCTGACCTGCCTTACCTGTAACAGCCATAATCAAAACATCGATATCAACGTTACCTGCGGTACAGTTCTGGGTGCAGCTGGGGTCTTGGCCGGGCACTGTAACACACATAGGCTTTGGGTTAACATGTGAATATGGAATGATACATCAGTCCATAAAATGGTCATTCTTTGATTTCAAGGCACGTCGGTGAACGTACAGTGTATGTTTATTGTGCATTATTTGTTGTGGTTTATGCACATTTATGTTTCCGTTGACCAGAAACGTAGATATTTCCTCATTCTCATCAGATGTATGTTTGTCTATGTGTTATTAGAATTACTTGTTGTGGTTTATGATCATTTATGTTTCCTTTCACAAGGAACGTAGGTATTTCCTCGTTGGCATCAGATGTAAATGAGTGTCTCACCTTGCGAGATCCATACAGCCATCAAAATCAAGTAAACAATGGCGTTCTGGGTAATCATGATTCCACACTTGCTGATTGAGACATGAAATTAATTCATCCCTTGAGGCCACACAAGTACATCCATTAAGAAGCAACTAGTTCAGAAATGAAACTACAACCACACCCGTGACAGTTATTCAAGCATGCAATGAGGTACTCCAACCAGCTCACTTCCTCACAGCCTTTTGCGCATTTGGCTCGACACATTGCCGGTAGATATTCATATATGCGTTGATATATTCACGGAAATATATTCACAGAGATAGGACACATTCAATAAAACGAGCATGGTGTGAACAGTCATCGAAAACTGCGTCCCATGTCCTAGAGTACACAATGAGAAATGTTCAGTGAAAAGGCCTGCTTCAATGTTCTTACTAAGAGGACATGTAGTGGATTAAAGGATCATATGCAGTGTATTGGAAAACGCCAGTGCGTCAAGATTGTGATCATTTTCCTCCTGATAAGCAATATGTGACCAGACTGTTCTCATCACGTGTACCTGTGATAAAATATCAGAGTTATCACTGTAAAATTGCACAAACTAAAAACGCCATATATGCAGGTTACAATGGTTGCAAAGCTGCATCCACTTCCTCCTTATCAAGGGGGTAGCCTAGTGGTCAAAGCGTTTGCCCGTCACGCCGAGACCCTGGTTCGATTCACCACGTGGGTACAATGTGTGAAGCCCATTTCTGGTGTTCCTCACCCTGATATTGCTGAAATATTACTAAGAGCGGCGTAAAATTAAACTCACTCATTCCCAGGCCTCCTTATCAATACTGCTGTTCATCGGCTTGCATGGATAATATATTGTTGTGTGATGAACACATATATCTCCAGACTCTGGGAATGATATTAATACATGCTGCAACACAAAGTAAACTCGCTGGCGTGGTTGTCATAGTGTCCCAATTGCATAAATCGATGATCATGATGTCAATGAGGGGATTCTCAAGTCCAGACCTACAGAACGATAAATTTACAGTAACGAATTCGAAACAAAATGTCCAAAGTCAAATGTCTGAATAGAAAAGGTAATTTGAGGGATTTGTTACACCCGGGTTCTTCTTCGGTTGGCAAATATATCTGTATGAAACACATTCCCACTTCATTTAGAAGACATGACATTGCACTGATGAAGATGTTGCTGTTTACACATCGTGTGTGCTACAAAGTGAACGGTAAGCAAGGTGATGGGTAGGCTGTGACATGTCATGCAAATACAACATGTGGCTATTCCAGGAACACAAAAATACACGCAGCATCTCAATGAGAGTGCTTACACCTGAGGTGATCCCTGTTTGATGGTGATTCATAAGCACATGATTCTGATGTAGTCAGACTATTCATTAAAGAATGGAGGTTGTCGCCTTATACAAATATTTGTAAAAGGATTATGATACGATTGGTATCTGAATAATCGTGCTTCGTGTCGACAGGAAAACGTGTGTAGGTTTTCTGTGTGATAACTTTCCTCGTGATAAGCAATATGTGTCACGGTATGATCTGCTATGAGGTATCACTACTTTTTTTATCTCCCATAAATGATTCAACTGCTACAGCAGCTACTATAACTACTGATAACCTCCCAGTGGCTGCTCAATACTATCAGGATAGGACACTGACTAACATGGTACAGCAGGGCGTTGTTTGCAGGTCACAAATCAGTATTCACCTCCTCACGATGAACGTACAGGATGATGAGAGTGAGACGTCAATGCCTCACAATAAACAGTCGCGATTATCAAACAAAACATATTCCACTGGGTGTAAACAGGAAAGTAAAGGTAACAAATTTGGGTAAATCACAGAGAATCAGTATAGGCATCAGGATTTCACGAATAGTGCAAATGTCCCCTGCACCACCACTAGCACAGGCTACTCTAACAATGTGACAGGTTTTTCCGTGTTGTTGCAACTGTTACACTTCACTTGACTTTTGTGTCAGAGCTACCCAACCCAGATATGATAACGATGTAGCCTGGACTACCTTTTACTTGGCAATGTCAGAGAGCGTGAGCTTCAGAGCTATACACTCCCGGCTAATTTCGAAATGTGTTGTTGCTGGTGCGTGTGTGTGTGTCATGTGTGCACTGTTTCGAGGCCGTTTTAGAGGTATTTATACATGTACAAAATATCCACAATGTATATTAGGAGGTATTTTACCTATTCCAACTATGGTTTCAGATACATCTTCAGGCGTCATTGCTTAAAATTTCTGACTGTTGATAAGGTCGACATTGAAAGACTTCGCCTGGGTGAAATATTGTTTTGTGACGACCGCATTCATTTGTAGTCCTTTGAAAAGGTGTGATACATATATACATGCATAATGCACACCTTTTTAAAACGATTTTGCTGTATTTAAAGTATCTGAATGGTCTTGCCAAAGAGTTACGGTCACAGGTTTGTTACTGGTATCAAACAAACACTTATGACAATATGTATAGGAAAACAGTCACCATTGATGATCAAAGGATAAACAGCTGTGTATCTGAAGTGTGTAAAAGTCACCAAATGCAGGTATGAGGCCACGGTTTGCGGGGTCAAAAAGTAGAATTTGTTTGGCTGAAGGGCTACAAGGGACGGTAAACGAAACCGTTTAATTATTTGTGTATTTTGGGGGGAATATTCCAACTATGAAAAGCGTAAGGCTAAATTTTGAAATGAGTAAATAATCACACAGATCAGTGGAGGTTACACAAGTTATACTGGGCCAAAAGGAATTAGGTTTACAATCACGAAAGGGAATACCATAGTAAAATCCGCAGAAGATGAGACTCTTTATATTTATTCATTTAACAACTTTTAGAAGCCGGTATGATGAACAGGTACTTTTTATGGACAAGTTTTTTATTGCAATGGAGGCATCGTTTCGATGTAGATGCTAACACCGTTATCAAGCAAGTGATATACAACATTATGGACAAGGCGAATATATACATGGACGATATTGGAGCTATACAATTATTCTATTCATGAAACGCTGAATACACATGCAACATATCTTTTTGAAGAATGTCAGTTACATTTCGTTAATTGGTGCCGTGTAGAAACGCAACCATTCAAAGCTTTTGAAGCTTTATACAGTATTATACATATATTAAGCAGAATTAACGTGAACATTGTGACAGTTATGGGCAGTGTTAATGACTTTCAAAGGTAAAAAAAGCGGTGCGGCAGTCTGCAACATGGTGTCCTTCATGAGGCTAGCCTTGCAGCCTCGTTGCAATGGCTGTTGTACCGGAATATGGAAATTAGCCTCTATGTCCAGGTTCACCTACTGACTATCAGGTGTTTTGAATACCGAGCCCTTACGTTAATATAATGACTTGGTGGTTGTCACAGAGTGCTGGTAGATGAACTAGCACTTGAAAGACAAAGCCATTCCACTTATGAAAACATATGTCAATCAGTTTATGTGTTCGAAAACGTGGTCACACAGTTTTTATTTGGCCATCCACCCTAACCCGCGCATATATGATGAAAGTAATTGAATATAATGGTCTATATGGAAAATATTACAACATTAATAACTTCATGCAAGTTAGGTTTCACCTGAATGACAGCAGGCATCAATCAAGTGCAGATATTTAAGGTATTTTCGTACAGACTAAAGTGATTAGTACTAACATACATGTTTGATTCTCCCACTGCTTCCCCGATGTCTTGATTAATAGAACCAACGTTGACATAACATGACGTGCCAGTTGACACATTCTGATCATTAACGTATTCGTTATTGACATATGTGTATTCGTTTTCCCTTGTGTTCTCACAACTGGTAGAAGCTGTCGTGTTAACATAATGGATCCTTGATCTGACCATCCCCTTGGTGTTCCGTGGCTTTGTATGCTCTGGTACTGAGTATGATCGAAGGGTTCCGCTACACACAGTTCATAAGATGGCATGACTGCTTCTTCAGCGTCCCTGGCTTGGGGCCTTTGTCCTTTCTGCCTCCTGAAACATCGAATTATGAATAATGATATTACAATGGTGCTTCCTAACAATATTCAAAATTTAGAAAAAGTGATAATTGAACTGGGTCAAGAGAGTGATATAGCGAGAGTGAATCGGATTGTGAAAGTAACTGACATTGTAAAGTTAGTATATCAAGCTAGATAGCATAAATCAAGCTTGACTGTAAAAACAATTCAAGTAAAACATGAAATTATGTTTTTTGTCAAAAGAGTTGTTGTCAGGGACAAGTGCTGTAACCAATCCATGTATGCATGCTTCGCACGAACGGAACATTAATAACATTCTCTGCTCCCCTATTTAATGGAGATAGTCCGACCTGCCGTTTGTGTCATTTGACATCCTTGGTAATGCATATGTAGAGTAGCTCAGGTCAAGCTGAACAAGCTGTACTCATGTCATTAATATTCTACATATTGACAGAGGTGTTATTTACATTCGTAGACGAAATGTTCCCACTGCACAAATGTGCAGTGGAATCCAGTACAGTTTCACCATGAATTATTCCAGTAAAAGCATGAGGACCTAAGTGTTTTGACATTATCGTTGACATTAACAGTTCCGGTGAAACAACCAAACCAAATTCCTCTGATAGAAGAGAGGTACCTACGTCATTATTATTATACATCTTGACAGAGGTGTTATTTATATGTGTCGACGGAGTCTCAGAGAAATGATCCCTCTGCCCAAATGTGCAGTGTAATAATGCAGTAGTTTTGCCATGAATTATTCCAGTAAAAGCAAGAGGACCTTTGTGTCAGGATGTTTTGACATTATTGTTGTCAATAACAAAGGAATTTGAGATCAGCCTATTGTTACGGTATATTCGTCCTCGTTAATCTTCCAGCGAAGCTTTAAATTGTGCTCTATCATCATAACCTATAGAACATTTGTTTCACGCACATAATACTTTACCATCTCTTGATAGCTGTACCATACCTCATATACACAGCAGCAACAACCGCAACAGCGACGACACCAGCAACCACAACACCCACGACAATGACGTACAGTAGCGGGAACCTGCTATCGGGGGGACCCTGAAAATGTAGCGATGCATTCAAGCGAGGAAATCAAACACATTACACATTATCAGTTTGAACAGTTAATTTTTTTATGTGAAATGCACATTTATAAGCGGTATTGATATCCTTTTCAACAATGCCTTGCGTCTTTTGCATGAAAATATTTTTTCAGGCAAAACACAAAAGACGTTTTCACCGGTCACCATGCAATGTATGTGATTGATTACGGCGCCTTCAGAATTGAAAGAGGTATTTTACGCCTGGTGAGAAATATCTCTGACTACATACACTAAAAAGACTTCCCCTTTGCACTAACTCTCATAATCCTTACATATGACCTGCTTGATTCTTAATCATATAACCTCATAGTAAATGTAATGAGTAATGATGAGGGGTATTTTCTTCTTATATGTGTGCATGCGAGTGTATTATATACATATATTACATGCGTACCCACAATGCATTACAAACACAAAAGGTCAGCGACATAAATCGATCTTGATTATCAGCAATGAAAGACTCGAGGTTATCACTGTGTTGGCCGAGTATACAATTCAACTGTCTATCATTCATGGCATTAATATACACTTCAAAATTCTGCTGTTGAAATGTCACGTGCAACGATAACCTATATCCAAGTCTGTTTGTTTGAATAAATGCAATATCAATGTGAGAGTTAAACTGTTTATTAATTGCGCTTACCTCCGAGGTAAGCACGACGTTAAACCCAATTTCACCTCACCTCACCCCCGAGGTGACAATAACTACAACCTGCAAGAAGTTTGCACTCTGTCATTGTCTTTAACCCGTTCGTCTTTGACGGACCCTCAAAACATATATATCACTTCCTTTACCTGCACCGGATGGAAGCGTGGATGTTTCCGATGGGTGTGCTGCCGCAGTCCGTGGTGTGACCATTGTGTTTGATGTTTCTGCCGTAGGTGATACAACCGCCGATGTCATCGGTGTTGGAATGGATGTTAAGGACGTTGTACTCTTATCCATGCTGACCCAGAACTCTGTAATTATTGTCGAGGATGCTATTGGTGAAGTAGTCACTTTTCTCGTAAACAATGTCGTGGATGTTGTTGGCATAGTAGTAGTTGTGGAAGAAGACACCGAAGAAGACGTTACCACCGAATCAGCTAAAGAAACACATACATGTCTTTCTTAATTTCAATGTAGCTTGAATGGAAGGTATATGATACAATGTATCTGATTTGGTAGCGGACTGATTTGGCATTTGACAATTCAACATATGTCATATTTTGGATTATACTTTCTTAGTAAAGTACAGATTCTAGTACTGGTGGTCTGGACCACGGACGTTGTGGAAGCCTTGGTGCCTAAGCAGGCTAGGCGTCTGACTTTGTGTGCTGCTGATTAGGTGCCTGACGCTGAGTCTGTGGGTTCGAATCCCATGTGTGATGATAAGCATGCGGGTAACACTAAATTCGTAAGTTGAAAATAAAATATATTGTACAATCAAGTGATATACGTAAAATATACCAGATTTTAGAGAATATTTTACTTTATTCGTGATCTGGCAACAAAAGAAAATATCATTTCAAAAATAAAATTCATTGATTTGAATTGACATCTTAGCACAAATTATTTTAATCATCATCATGATAAAAAGATTCATAACACATAGTACACATCCAGTCTTCACTGTAGTTTCATTAAGAATGAACTGCGTCTGCCTACACTTATTCTGCCAGTAGACAAATCATCATATATTTATGTTATATGTTGTATTTATTATCTCAGCAGATATTTATACCTTTATATTATTGTTGACACGTTCGTGGTTACGTATGCCAGGATGTTTGGTGACTATATCATCGACAGTGGAGACGGTTAAGTCTCTACAACATCCCGAGGATGCAGCATTTCTCTAAAGTGTATCCATCGATACATATCTTCCACCTCGTGAAGTCGGAATGAAATTTTACTCTAACTGCTGGTTTGCCATAATGAAAGTGATGAATTAGAAAGTATGGCCAGCATATTATGTACCCAAATTGAGTTGGTGCTTACTCATATCAATTAATCTCAATCAATCGTTGTCAAAACAAACGAAGTGAGTTCAAATTCATTGATTTTAATTGTGTAAGTGTGTAAGGGGTAAGTTCATGTCACCTAATTCGTTAGGTAGTTCAGAAATGTGTATAACCCAGAGACTTAATCGCTTAAAACAACATGCACAGTCAGTCCCCCAACATCAAAGGATTTTCACTGTAATTACAAATGTATACCAGGTAAGACATCACTGAATACACCTACATTCTGTCGTGTAAACACAGCGACCTTCCTTCAAGGATTAACGACAATATTTCATTTTTTAGAAGAATTGTGGACACCATGTAAAAAATTGTCAGGTGTGTTATCTTTGGTGTCCAATGAAACAAGGTCACGTGACATGGAACAGGCTTTTGGCAGCTGCAGATCAATGGTATATTGTTCAGTTATGTGGATACTGATGGATACATTTCTCAAACAAGGTACATGTAATAGCCCAATAGTTTGCTATAACGTTAGTTGGTTTGATATCTGTATTTTGTCTTTTTGTAACTGAAACCCAATGCAAAGTTTCGTAAATCAGGATAACTGAAACCTAATGAAGCCTTACCGGTTTCTCAGTAATTTATCAATTTAAATTATCTGTAATTAAGTTTACCAAACGAAACGTAAAGGAGACAAAGTAGAATCTTAAGTTTCCATATTCTTTCAATTAGGTTTAAGTTTTCCTGAAATTAATTTTATGTGACCATATCTTTTATTTGAATTCTGGTGTACAGAAACATTGAAATCACTAAACTGAAACCTATATACATGTAGTATATGGGCAGTTTAACAGGTTTCTGGATATATGCTGTATATACTGGTATATATGGAGTCAAATTAATTTCCTCTACGTTCGTTTCATTCAAGTTCTCATCAATGATGGTTTCCAGTTGCGTTACGCAATGGAAATTACCAATGATACTTTCTGGAAACTAACTTTGTTGGTATCCGGCAGTTTCCCAGTCGCTGAAGCTAACCTTGTTGGTTTCCGGCAGGTTCAGGTCGCTGAAACTAACCTTGTTAGCCGGAAACCAACAATCATAGTTTCCGTGAGCGGAAACCTACGTGATTCTGACATTACCAAGTTTCATGTAGGTTTCCGGAAAAATGGAACCTTGTACCTTGTTATTTTTGCTGTGATAGGACTCAACCCAACAAAAGTACTAGAATCTGTACTTTACTAAGACAGTGAAATCTCAAATACAATATACGTTACATTTGACGACTTTCTAATCTCATTTTGTATTCATAGTCGGCAATTTACACATGAAAGTTCAAGTGTTCCTTTGTTCTTTTCCAGGTTTCTTCTCAAGGTTGCACTGTGGATGAAAATAAGGAAATAAATAACGGAACATTTGTACTTTCATGTGTTCCCTTATTTGTTTCCATGAGTATATTTAACCAGACCGTAAGCATTGCGCTGATTCAGTTATACGTTTTGTGAAGATATACAACCGCTCAAACAGTCCATGAATGATCTCATATATCTTCAGTAATGTTCAACGGTCAATTTGTGAAACGTCCCGTCAGAGCCAGCGTCCTGGTGGTGTTAGTGAACTTCCCTCGAATCACTGTCGGTACAGTAGATGTATTTGCTATCTGAATTTAAATATCTAATAACAAACTAGTTTTCCATATTAGATTTTAGTTGGTGCCGTTTTCGCCATAAGATATGTAGCCGTTTTTGCCAAGTCGAGGTTCCATTATGTCTAAATGGTGCCAAACAAATAATCCCAATGATTGGGCAAAATTATGTATCATTATTGACTGAATACATATATCTTCTACCGTATACTTCCACCTCGCAGAAACCCAGATTTAGCATTCTCGCATCTTCTGTAGGTTGTCGATGTATCAGGAGATGGTCCCCCCGTCACGGGTACATCACACTCCAGGGTGTACTGTGGTCCCCATCTGTAGGAAGAGTTTTGCGGGGTGTGACAGATTCTATCACCTACAGACACATATACGTCATCCTGTTGATCTGGAATATGTTTTGAGAAGAAAAAACAAAATACCTCACACTGAATTACTGGTAACATAAAAGATTTCAAAGCTGGTCAAATAATATTTAAGATGTCTCATATAAAGTACTTGCCTCATATAAAGTACTTGCCTCATATAAAGATACTCATATATCAGTATTAATACTATTTGTCAGTATTAGTACGCATTCGTTATTTTGTGTTTCTGATGATACAGAACTTTTGCAGAATATCTTGATCCTGCTAACTGTCCTGTTCTGTGTAAACTCCGCCTCCCATGCTGGGAATATGGGCGAGACTGATGCACACTGCCCTCACGTCACACCATCAGTAACCCAGGATGCCAGCCCCCGTGATAGTGTAAGTACTGTTTACTCGCTGCTATATTAACTGTAATAATAAACAGTATCATTATCTGTTGTACGTTAAGTTCATCACATTCCAATATGGGGATTCGAGTTACTGTCTGTAGAATCCAGAGAATGTTCTTTCTCTTTGATTTGTCATCAAAGTTGTTTAAATCTTTAAAATATGTTGCGTCACCTTTCAGCATCTGTCCATTAGATCGAAGAAGTATTGTATTGTTTCCAACATCATCTTCGTTACAGTGTGTTGCCCCTTTTGTTGAAAGACATCTTGTTAAATACCAAATACTAACTCTCCTACTTACACTCTTGTGGTTAACAAGTAGTTAACAAGTAGTAAATGTCTATACAAAAAACATAATTTGGAACTATAAACCCTAGTATATTGGCAACGAGATAAGTTTTCGAGTGGTTTAGCGACAAAACATATTCCGTTGGCCGTGAAAAGCAAGTGAGAAAGTTCTTATAACAATTAATGAAAACTTCGATATCAACGTTACCTAAGGTACAGTCCCGGGGGCAGTTGGAGACTTGACCGGACACTGTAACGTACAGAGGATTTGGGTCAATATGAATATCTGATGATTAAATGGTTAATATAATGGTCATTCTCAGAAACATTTGCTTTCAAAGCATTCCTCTGTGAATCCAATGCAATTGTCACTGCGCATGTTTATTCTAAACTGTTTGTGTATGCTCATGTTTCAGGTTCTAGGAATGTAGGTATTTCATCATTGGCACCAGATTTATGTGTGTAGCAGATGTATACAGCTCACCTTGCAGGCTCCAGACAAGCGTCAGAATCAGGTAAGCAATGGCGTTCTGGGTAACCATGGTTCCACATTGGTTGAGTATGACATGAAATGAATTCATCCTTAGAGACCATACCATTAAGTTCATTGAGAGGAGACGAGATCAGAAATGACACTACAACCTCACCAGTGAAGCTCACTCTTTCTGTTGGTAAATATATGTGCGTGAAACATAGTCACACATCATTCAGAAGATAAATTTGGCTATATACTGTTCATATACTGTACACATTATGTGTACTACAAAAGGTACATTAAGCCAGGTCGTGTGTATGCTATGATATGGTGTATAAATACAATAATTGCCTATTTCAGAAAAATGAATATTAAATCCGCCGAGGTGTGACTCCTGCTTGATGGTGATTCTTAAACAGATGATTGTGATGTAGTCGGTGTATTATAGAATGGAGTATGTTGCTTTTATACAATTATTTGTAAACTGACTGAGATACGATTGATATCTGAATAATCGTCCTTTGTGTCTACAGGAAAATGCGTTCGGGTCTACTGTGTGATAACATTCCTCGTGATAAGTAATGTACTCCTCAAAACAAAGTCGGGGAACTTCAGTTTTAATTAACGATTGAACATATTGGGAGATATATCGGATTCAATCAATGTTGATATGATGATTATGAATGTTTGGGGAGTGCATTACCGCTTCCACTTCCTTATGACCAATGTTTGTACAGTAATCGCTCTTGAAAAAATGATTGGTGTATGACGTGAAATTTGCATGTGTACAATTTTCATCTTCAAACAAAACATACAGGCTGGATGAAACACTAACAAATTTGTAATGCAAGATGATTGTCAAAATTAATGCAGAGATTTATTGACCTTCTTGAAAACCGTCAAAATCAAGTATGCCACCCAATGGACGTGTATGGGGCTACTGCGTTGTGCATGTCACGTGCATCCCATGCGTTGTGTTGAGAGGTGGTGATAAGGAAAATTGTGGTGCTTTCATAAGATGTATGTCTTTGTAAGTTTATACTTCCAATCCAAATTGATACTTCAGGTTCCCCTACTTTTTAAAAAAATATATGGGAAGAGTATATAAAGAGATGTTGTCACTAACGGTATGATCTGCAAAGAGGTGTCACTACATTTTGGGGCATCTCCCATAACTGCCTCAACTGCCACACCAGTTACTATAACAACTGATAACATCCCAGAGAATACTTAATAAATGTTAGAGTAGGACACTGACACGCATGGTACAGCGGGCGTTGTTTGCAGGTCACAAATCAGAACGCATTCCTTCACAATGCAGTAGTACGTGGGCAGATGGATGATGAACGTGAGACGTCAATGCCTGACAATAACCAGTCTCGGGTATCAAACGGAATATATTCCACTTGGTGTAAACAGCAAAGTAGAGTAAATCACTGAGCATCAGTATAGGCATCATGATTTCACGAATAGCCCGAATGCCTCCTGACGCACGTCAGCACAAGCTACAATGTGACAGGTTTTTCCGTGTTGTCGCAACTGTTACACTTCACTTGACCTTTGTGTCATAGCTACCAAACCCTTATATGATAACCATATAGCCTGGACTACCTGTTACTTGGCAATGATCTGAAAGCGTGAATGGCAGTCAAGTGCGTCGATATCAGTGCTAGAACTTTAGAGATATCGCAAACTGTCGCACTGTCGAAAACTGTCGGCACGCGGTGTTGTCGGTGTTTGCCGCAATCACATGTTGCTTAATAGGATAATCGTAACGAGCGTTCCAAGGGACATAGCTTTATGAGGTTCGCTTGAAAAAACGGTCGGTCGGTAGAGGGCGCGAGAGTCGATCTAATGCAATGTTGCATTAATTCATTCGAACTTTTTAATTTCAAATTGTAATACCTAATATTTTTTCGGAATAAAGTATATAGTAGTTTCGCTCGGGGCTGATAGTTACAATTATTAATGAGAGAAATGCATTATTGATTTTTAGAGAAGTGTGACGTGATAGTGTGCTTTTAAGGGCTAAAAAGTTAAGTACCAAAACCTTTTAAGTATTTGTTTTATGCTACATTTTGAAATGAGTAAATAATGACATAACATCAGTGGATGTTCACAAGTTATTTTGGGACATACAGAATTAGGTTTACACTCAAGAAAGATAATACCATAAACCAGTATCATGTACTCTCTAAAATGAAATACGAATCAGACGAGACCCTGGATTTTACATGTTCATTAAACATCTTTTAGAAGCCGAACAGGAACAATTATTTTATGGATAACATCTTTATTGCAGTTGGTGCGACGTTTCGATGTAGATGGTTTCTAGCACCGTTATCAAGCCAGTGATAAACAACACTATGGACAAGGAAAATAGAATATGAAGGATATTGGAGTTGAACAATGATTTTATTCGTAAAACGATCATTACACATGCAATATGTCTTATTGAACGCTCTCATGTTACATTTTCGTTAAATGGTACCGTGTACAAACGCACCAGTTTTAACATTTTATTAAGCTTTATAAGTATTATATGAGTGCATGAACATGTGATGGAAAGGAGTTCTAAAACAGAATTAGCGGGACGTTGTCACACTTATGTGCGGTGTTGTGGGAACGAACCTCTTCGTACAGGTTCACCAGATCTTGCCCCTACTGACTCTCAGGTGTTTTCAAATTTGAATATTGAATCATTAAGTTATTATTGGTGGTTGTCACAGAGGGCTGGTTGATGAACCAGCTTTCGAAAAACATATGTCAATGAATTATTTTAAGTGTTCGAAAATGTGATCACTTCTAATTTTTCCATCCATAACCCTCGCCCTTATGGGCAAAGTACTAGAATATGATGGTCTTCACGGACGATACTGCAACGTTAATAGCTCCATGCGAGTTATGTTTCACCTGAACGACAGTAGGCACCAATCTTAAGTGAGGATATTTGGGGTATTTTTGTACAGACTAAAATCATTAGTATTAACATACATGTTTGATTCTCCCGCTTCACCGCTGTCTTGATTATTAGAACCAACGTTGACATAGCATGATGTTCCTGTTGACACATTCTGATCATTAACGTATTCGTTGTTGACATAGGTGCATTCGTTTTCATAAATGTTCGCAAGACTGGTAGTTGTTGTCGTGTTAACATAAATGGATCCTTGATCTGACCATCCTCTAGGTGTTCTGTGGCTTTGTATGTTCTGGTACCGAGTATGATCGATGGGTTCCGCTATGCACTCTTCATAAGATGGCACAGCTGCTTCTTCAGCGTTCTTGTCTTGGGGCCTTTTCCCTTTCCGTCTCCTGAAACATCGAATAATGAATATGACTTTATAATGGTGCTTCCAAACAATATTTGAAAATCCGGTTCAGGTGAAACGACCAAACAAACCAAATTCCTCTGATAGAACAGAGGTACTTATGTCATTGTTTCCTCTGCCCAAATGTGCAGTGAAAGTATAGTTATTTCCAGTTAAGGAGGACTTTTGCGTCAGGATGTTTTGACGTTATCATTGTCAAGGGGAGCAAATTTGAACAGAATTTTGAGGTCAGCCTATCCCCGTTAATATTTCAGCGAAGCCTTTTAGTATGCTCTGTTATCATAACTTATACAACATTTATATCAAGAGCATAATAGTTTACGAACTGTTGATAATTGCACCATACCTCACACACACAATAGCAACAACTGCAACAGTGACGACACCAGCAACCACCACACCCACGACAATTACGTACAGTAACGGGAACCTGTTATCAGGGGACTCTGGAAATGTAGACATACATTCAAGCGAGGAAATCGAACCCATTAGATATTAACACATAGAACATTTAAATGTTTATATGTGAAACAGACATGTGCATACCGCATTGATATCCTTTTCAACAATGACATGCTTCTTTTAGCTAGAACACAAACAACTTTTGCACCCGTTACCATACAGCATTATGTGATTGAATACTACTCCTGCAGAATCGAAAGAGGTATTTTACGCCTGTTGAGAAATATATCTGACTTTATATACTAAAATGACTTCCCCTTTGCAATAGCACCTTACATATAACTTGCTTGACTCTTAATCATATAACCTCAAAGTATATATAATTAGTAAATGGTGAAAAGTGTTTTCTTCTAATGTGTGTACCTGCGAGTATGATATACATATTATAATTACAGGCGTGATGTACTACCCACAATGTAATACAAACACAAAAAGTACCCGATATAAATCGGTCTTGATCATCTGCAGTGATTAATAATAGTGAAAGACTCGAAGGGACATATTATCATAGTTTTGGCCGAGTATACAATATAACTGTTTTGTTTTTTTCTTTAATGACATGTAAACATGTACTTACAAATTCTGCTGTTGAAATGTCACGTGTAACAATAATCCTTCTCCAAGTCTGTTTCAATACAAGCAGTATCAATGTGAGATTTAAACTGGTTATTGACTGCGCGTACCTCTGCTGTGACAAGAACTACAACCTGCAAGAATTTAACCCGTTCGTCGTTGAAGAACCCCCCAAACATATACATCACTTCCTTTACCTTCACCAGATGGAGGCGTGGATGTTTCCGATTGGTTTGCTGTCGCTGTTGTTGGTGTTGCCATTGTGTTGGATGTTTGTGCAGTAGTGGACATAGTGACCAAGAACGCTGTACCTATTGGTGAAGTAGTCACGTTTGTCGTAGACAATGTCTTGGATGTTGTTGGCATGGTAGTAGTTGTGGAAGAAGACATTGAAGAAGACGTTTCCAGCGGTACAGCTAAAGAAACACATGCATTTCTTTCTATATTGATACGTAGCTTGAATGGAAGGTATTTCTAATGCTACACATGTGTCTGATTTGGAAGCGGTAAAGTGTCTGCAGTCGACAGTATATCAATATACTTAACCAGACCTTAAGCGTTCGGCTAATGATACTGATTCAGATATCAGTTTCGTGAAGATATACAACACACAGTCAGATGGATTTCATCTAACATTGATGTCATATATCTTCAAGTTTGACCAGGCTTGGGATTTAGAAAGGGATATTCTACCACTGATCATATATTTACTCTGTATGCACTAGTCAAAATCGCTATCAAAAAGAAACATAAGGTTGTACATAGCATTTGTAGATTTTAAAAGGCATTCGACTCAGTCAATCGTTTTAAATTATGGCAGTGTTTACGCAAGCACTTGGGTTTACGAGGGAAAATGGTTAGCATTCTCAAATCCAATGTATTCTAACGTTCGATCTTGTGTGCGTTGTAAAAGACAGGGTTACAAGATTTTCGATTGCCCACTTGGTTTAAAGACAGAGGTTGCTGCTTAAGTCCACTCCTATTTTCCTTCTTCATTAGTGAATTATATCCACGATATCAATTTTAGCTGGAAAACATGGAACTAAATGTACCCAGATCTTGTAGGAAGTCCTAATGCTCCTTTTTGCTGACGACGTTATTTTTAGTTTCGGATACTGTGAAGTCGGTTTACAAAATCAATTAAATATCTTAGAAGTTATACCTTTAAAGAATGGAAGTTAACAGTAAAATTTAAGCAAAACAGAAATTGTGATATTTAGGAGGAGGGCGGTCCCGTGGCCAGGAAACGAACGCTGGTTTTTGATGGTCAGTTGATGAATGTATCGATCAATATTCTTACTTAGGGTTTTGTTTTCAAACAGAATGAACTTGAATAAATGTGCACATAACTTAACTTTACGTGGAAAAAGGCTTTGATACAAGTTTTATCGGTTTTAACCTACAAAGTTGGAACTATGTCACCCAATGTGTTTTTAAGATATTTAATTCTCAGATTCAACCCATTTTATTATATGGATCTGAAATATGGGGTTTTCAGCGTTTCCTTTGATTGTATTGAGAGAGTGCATCTTTTAGCCTGTAAAAGTACCTCCAATGTAAGCTCAAAGACACCTAACTGCATGGTATATGGCGAATGGCAGATTTCCTTTTGTATATCAATTCTCACATAAGATGTTTAAAATAATTGGTTTAAGGTTCTAAATATGCACGAACAACGTCTCGCCAAAATTAGCTTTACAATATGCTTTTAAATCTGGATAATTTGGGAAAACACACTTGGGTAACTGATATCAGAAATTTATTATTTTCTTCACGGTTTCGGTTTCCACCATGGTTAGAGCCAAACAATTGGCGATGTGAACTTTGGTTTATTAATGAATTTCAAGTGTTAGATCAATAGATATATTTCAATCAAGAATGGAAATCCACCCTAGATTCAAGCTCACGATAATATAGATAATTCACAGGACCTTTAAAACGTTACTCAGCCAGAAAATACTTATCAATAATTCACAACTTATATAGTTTTAAGAACAATGTTCGTAAGAAAGTATCGTTTAGGTTTATTTATCTTCAATGATTAATGAGATTGTTGAAAAACCTCTGTATCCAGAAAGAACATCGATATTGTCCTTTTATGTAACGTTGGAATAGAAAATGGAAATTCATTTTACCCTGATATATCCTTGTTATCACAGAATTAAGACGAAATATATACCGCACCATCGTTTCTTTAAAAGCAGCCCCATTATGCATATATATCTTTATTTACAAACCAATAATAAAGAAATATTCTTGCTCAATTGTCCTTATACTTAAAATGCGCATTAGCTAAAAAGAATCTTATAAAGCCGAATTGTATACCCATTAAATATAACATATAAATATCCAGAATATTCCTTTATCCTGTAACTCTCTCATGTATATGGGCCAGGAGGCCTCATACAATAAACATCTTTTGACTGACTTTGACCAGAACACACATTTCTATAACGTCCCATCAAAGGAAAGCCTGCGTCCCTGGTGAGGTGTTAGTGGAACGTCTCGTGTATTCAGACTAGAGTACACCCAAGTCAGGGAGTCTACATTTTACTTGTATCTGGTTTGTTCACAGGCGCATGGAGTACAACTGCTGCTGACCAGTGTAAGCTTGCTAACAAAATAGTTTACAAGTTTGTGAGGTGACAGGTGCTACTTTCCGGTGGGAACAGGACATGATTATCCTTTTAAGCGCCCGCATCTTATATAATTTTAACAGATATTTTGTAACTTTCTGTTTTCCGGAATTTTGTTTCTGAAAGAAATGATCAAAACTGGGACA